TGGAAAATTTGCTTTATTCTGTTCCTCCTCATTTGGAGGTTTATAGGTCCTGTTTTTTTGAAGTTTTTAATGGCTGTCTTTAAATTTTAACAATTTAAAATTACTGTGTATTTGTACCATCTTCAAAGTAAGACCAGGACTTCAGCATGCTTCAGCTTCTGATCTGTTCCTCCTACTCTTCTTGTTTTGCTTACTATCGGCTAGTCCAGTGTGGTAGCCGCTAGCTGCATGAGAATATTAAGCCCTTTTAAAACATGAGCTGAATTTTTATTTATTCAATTTCAATCAAGTTAAAATTTAAAAACTTGTATTAGATTCAGTGATTGGAAAGTTTTAAGTATGCTTGGAACAACCAGGACATGTGAAACTACTATATCTCTTATGAATTCTAAATACAGAGCAAGTGTCCCTGGTGAAAATTGAGCACTTGAATGGAAATGAGTAAAATCCATGCCATATTTTGAAGATTTTGTACAAAAAGTTTGTGAAATATCTTAAAAATCTGAACATTATGTGTTGAAATTATAACATTTTAATTATTGTTCAGTTAAAATATATTATTAGAATTAATTTAACTTATATTCTTTATTACTTTTTTAATGGCTATTAGAAAATCTAAAATACCTATCTATTTCTACAGAATAGCATTGCTCTGGACTTTCTTTTAAAACTTTTAAACACAAGAAATAGACACTATTTACTAATTACATTACTATTTACTAATTAATATATATATATATATATGTATGTATGTATTTACATTTGCTGTATACTTTCCATCAGGATTCATTTTTCTTATTGCTCAGTTTGATCCTTTAACTTAGGTCCTTGTTAAGAAGGACCATGTTTTCCTCCATGTTGGTGGTAAACTCCTTCAGTATTTGCATTCTGAAATGCCTTTACTTTTACCTTCACTCTTAAATAAAAACTGGGTATGGGATTCTAGATAGATAGTTTTCTTCAACTCCTTTAAAATTAATTCATAATTTCTTACATTTGTGGCTATGGCAAGTACTTCTTTGTAGATAACCTGTCTTTTAATTATGGTAACTTTTAAGATTTTTCTCATTCCCTTGCTGTTCTGCAGTTTTATTACAGTATTTCTTACTATATATATTTGCTTGCTTTATTTTGTCTCCACTAAGTTCCTTAATGTGAACTTTCAATCTGAAGACTGAGTTCTTCGGACCCTCCCTGGTGGTGCAGCGGGTTAAAGCACAGCACTGAGAATATAAAGCCGCTTCTGCATGAGTTCGATTCCCGCCTGCCCTGGAGGTGACCACATGGTGTGGTGGACCTCTCCTGACCCACCCGCTGCACCCCTCAGCAGTGTACTTTGTCGATCTGCCTGTTCTGTTCCCCACTCTGTCTCTGGTGAAGCCTCTCACCGCCCCTGAGCCTCTGGCCTGTACCCCAGTTCTGTATGCACAAATAAATAAATAAATCTTTAAAAAAAAAAAAAAAGACTAATTTCTTCGATTTGGGGAAATTCTCAGCCTTTATGTCTTTACCTTCCTACTGGTACCTTTGCTCTCTGCTTCTATAATGTCTGTTAGGTGTATGTGAAATGTCTCAATTAACCACCATGTCTCCTAAACTCTCTTTCATATTATTTATCTCTTCGATGCTCTTTGTTGCATTCTGGCCTAATTTCCCAGGAGTTTGTGACAATTCATCATTTTTTCTATTGTCCTTGGTCTAGACTATGTTTTAAGCTTTTTTTATTTTACTGAGCTTACTTTTACTTTTAGCATTTGAATTTTGAAAAAGTCAAATACCTGTTGATTTTTTTTCCCAAAAAAATCAGACTGCCTTAGACTACTCTGTCTCCAACAAGTATGTTCAGGGATCCACCTGCCTGCTGACTGATCTTCAAATTAGCTCTCACTGGTGCCCCAGAATGCTCACTGTGCCCTCTGCCTAGTCACCCTGTGTATCTGTTTCCCCCTCACCTCGATTTCTCTGTGGGCTAACTCAATTCCCTTGCCACTGATGCTACAGGAGCCTCAGCTGTGTGAATGAGCCCTTTCTGTTTGACCATGGTTCTTTACACTCTTGACCATCTGAGTTCTAACTGAATTAGTAGAGGTCTGCCTTGCCCTGCAGAGTAAGACAGGAATTCTCTGTCTTGGAATCTCCTGCATCCCATCTTATCTCAGCCTTCCCATTAGCCCACTGGGAGATTGAAGTACACCTAAAATCATCTATGTGTGCTCCCAACTATCATCCCCCTATATTTTCTTTATTTTTACTTTTCACATCCCTTAGGGCAGAAAGATTGGAGCTTCTATTAAGCCCTTCATACCATGCCCTCCTTGTTCTCTTTAGCCTCATGATTATGTGCCAATGATGCACAGGCTATGTGATAAGACATCCTGAAATGGGAGGTCTTTCCAAAATATTATAGCTGTCACTCTGCAACAAAAACAAATGACCAGCTTACAGAAAAACTCAATGAAAGGAAATGTGCTCAACTTTAAAACCCTGCTGAATATAATTTTATATTTGATAGTTCAAAACTCATTAAGTAATAGATCTCATTTGTTCCATAGCACCTAGACGACAATTCAGTTGCTCTCTGACATCTGAAATACTCTCTCCAATACCTTGTTTGACCCTTAGAGTTACATATCAATATCATCTGTCACTCATAGTTGAAGAGACTTTGCCATTGTGATCAAGTCACTGCCCCACAGCGTACAGCAGCTTCCTGGCTCTAGAAAGCCAAGATTCAGGCTGGTGTCCAGAATGTAAATTCATTGCCACCGTACCAAATTGATCCCAGAATAAAGATGGGTCAGGTTGTTCCCGACCATAAATTTGTCACATGCTTATTAATAGAAAGCCCTTGTGTAGAGATTGCTTGAAAGTCAGCTTTGCCTAGAATTTTAGCTCCTCATATCTAAAATCTCTTAAGTTCAGTCATCTGAAAACATTGACATTTCCAGTTATACCTGCTTTTTTCATGTGGTGTCCTTCAAAGTTTGTCTGTTCCAATAATTTGTATTAATACAAGAATCATTAGGTCGGTATTCAAAGCGTGATCTCTCTATCATATTGTCTGTCACTATGACACAGAATAATATTGAACATAATGCCATTACCAGAAACATATAGTGCTATAATGTAATATTAACTCCATAAAATTATTAAAGAAGAGAATGTCATTAGCATTGCTCTGTAATTTTTTTTTTTAAGTATCTGTAGCATCAGCAATAGCTATGTGCTCTTTCTTTAAGTAACTGTCAGTTAAGATAGCGACTATGCCCATTGAAATCTTACTAAGTGACCTTACAGGTGTGAATGAGGGCCCAGCATTCCTTGATAGCAGAGGGTCACCAAAAGGTTGGAGCTTGTAGACACAGAAGTGAACAAAACCAAGTGGTCAACGTAGGCATTGTCTTTTATTCTGAGATTTTCTAAGATGTTGTGTCTAACTTAGCTGACTGATAATAATTGTGACCTAGACGTCCCCATACAGGAAACGGGGGACAGAAAAGGGAAATTTTTCCTTTTAAGATAGAAAATTCTATGGAGTAGGGATTCGTATTTGTTGATTTGGGGGAAAGGAGCGAATGCCATGAACCTGAAGTTCTGGAGTGACATGAACTGATTAGGCTGTGGGTAACTGGTGGACCCAGGGGAGGAGAGATTTACTATATCTTTGGCTTAAAGAGGAGTTTTTGTCTTCCCAAAAGCTTTATATCCTGATGACCTATATTTAAAGTATTATTTTGTAATCAAAGTTTTAATTACTTTATTTGGATTTCCATGTAGTCATATAATAGTTACATAATGAAACATTTTTCTTTAAATTGAGATAAAATTTCTCTACAATTTACTGATCGTGTGATTTTGCTATTATTACACATTGTCAATAGGATAGAATAGTAATAAAAATAAAACTTCATTTTTAACAAGAGTTTCTCCCTTTTGAGTCCTGGCTCCAAAATTGGAATTATTGTATTTTTATATGGCTATTCTTATGTTTCTTGCATATTGCCAGGTGGTTCTTTCAAAATAGTGTATTGATTTATAGTGTCATCAGCCCCTCAAAGAGGGGGTTTTATGATATTTTACATTTTTATTTTATCAGGTGAGGCAGTAACCATAGCTGTTTAATTTTTCTAAGCCAAACATTGTGTTACATGGTGGTTTGCTATTTTTATTTTTTCTTATGGGATTTCTAGTCAGTTATTCTCTCCATTTGTATTACAGAGATTAAATATTCACCTCCCAGATTTTTATAGTTTAAAAAGGTGTTAATTTCCATTTCTATGTAATTTGTTTTAATCTTTTTTTTTTAAGTCTTTGGCAAATAAACATATATTGGGACATATGGTGTGCAGTGTAAATCTAAATATATTTTCCTCACAGCTATATGCAGCTTGTAAAGGGGTCAGGTTTGAGCTGTACAAGAAGGGGCAGGTGCTGCCTCAATAGATGTATCAAAACCAGAAAATAAACCAACTGGGTGGCAGGGTGCTTGGCCATCCTGTGAGGCTGGGAGCATGGTAGAAATGCTGGTAGTGATAACGAAAAAATAATAACGATGATGAATTCGTCAAGTCATAGCAGGAAGTGGGTTAAAGATCAAAGCTGAGCAAGGATGGAATAAAATGTGCTTTTGTACTTGTCTTGGCCTTTTGTAGCATCTGCCCTCACCTTAAAGAAATAGTAAGTGGGCCATACTGCTGGGTTCCTGTTATTTAACCACTGATGGAATTATCTAAAACCACTGATGGAAAATTGCTTAGGTTAATGTACATTGTGAACAGAGTTTCATTTCAGCTCCTGCACCTGTTTTAAAATTGGAGCAGTTTTGCAAACAAGTGGTGGGTGTTTTGTGTGTGCATGTGTAAAGATCAAACTTAGTAACTTCTCCCCAAAAGATAACTGCTCACTTACATGTCCCATTGAAATGAACTAACTCTTTAAAATTTCTAACTATAGTGTTTTCCAGTTTAAATACAATATACTGCTTTTTACTTTCTCTCTAGTCTCCAGAGAATACAGAGGGCAAAGATGGATCCAAAGTAACTAAACAGGAGGTAAGTGTATCTCTGATGTCCTGAGTTTATTTTAAATGGAAATGATAATATTGTTGTGACTGCATCTGTATAAATACTAGTCTAAACAAGATTATTGGGATTATAAAAAACAGAAATAAAACTTTCACTATGTGGCCCTGGTTGACCAAGTTGTATTGAGTACATTGATAAGGCATTTTCACTGACTATGTTTGTTTCTGTACTAAAGTGGATACTGAGAATTTCTCCTAGGTAAAAAGCAAGTTATTTATAGATAAATTCATCAAGTAGAACAAAATCTGCCTTTCACAACCAAGAAATGAAAGACCAATGACTTAATAAATTCTCTGCTTCAGTGAATAACTTATAAATTACTTTTTAAAAAAGATTTATGTATTTATGCATCTGGAACTGGGGTACAGGCCAGAGGAGGCAGGGGAGTTGAGAGGAATCACCACAGACAGTGGTGAGGAACAGAACAGGCAGATCTACTGAAATACACTGCATAAGGGAGCAGTGGGCAGGTTAGGAAAATTCTACCACACCATGTGGGTCAGCTCCTGGGCCGGGGATGGAACTTATGCTGCAGTGGCTTCTGAGAGCTTCATAGGATGGTGCTTTAACTTGTTGTACTACCAAGGAAAACCCATAAATTACTTTTTAGTTTCTGAATGCTCATAAAAGGTATCATCTCTAAATTCAGAAATTATAGAGGATACACAGATGTCAAAATCTAATAAACTTTTTATTAGTCAGGAAAATTCGTAAGACTGGGCATCATTAATTAGACAATAATGTAAAGAAGCTCCATATTAAAATACAGACTTCCAAAAAGCTAGGAACTAGGGAGAGATGTTTGCATATGATCCTTTGTGGTAATATGAATTTCTAAAAGGAGACCAGCCAAAAGTAGAAATGAGTTGATAATTGTAATGACAACCATTCATTTTTACACAGAGCTTTAAAGTGTGTGAAAACTGAAGCTCATAAATTAAAAGGGCTTGAACTCATAAATTAAAAGCGTTCATGAAATACAAAAACAATATTTAAAGATTCTTTAATAGGGTGATTCATGCCATAGTTAATAATTCAGATGAATTTATCATGATAGCAAAACCCCTACACAAGATTTGTTCAAGGAAATTCATTTTCCCAAATGGAGCATCTGTAACAGACCCTATTTAAAGTAATTTAAAAAGCAGAATAAACAAAGCTGCTTATAACCAAGTCCACAATACTCATCGACTCAGCATCAGTGTCCAGCAGTGTGGGAGATGAAGTTTGTGAGCCAAAGTCAAGTCACTTACCAAATAGTGAAACCAACCAAACAAACAAAAAAAAAGGATAAATGCTTGAATTTTTAAAAACGGCAAATTCTAATTTGTAAAGCAAATTAGAACTTAATGTTTTTAAATTTATTGTTTTTAAATTTAACGTGAAATGTATTTAGGTTTTTCTTTCAGGACTGATATTGTTACAGGGTAGCCCAGAGTGGACTGGGCAGCCTGTCTGTGGGCCCTCACCCGCGCGCTCAAAATTCAGTTGTACTGCAGGTACACACAAAAGGGTCAAAATGGGTTTATTTACAAAAGGGGAAAGGAATAGAAAACAACCCAGGGAAAGAGAGTAGGATACAAAGTAACTGGAATACCTTACTGGCTTGGAATACCTTACTGACTGAAAATACCAAGTCACATGGTCCAGAGAGCATTTTCCTGAGCGAGAGTCTGCGAGAGATGCAATCACGCCCTATTTATCCCCCAATGTCCCAGAATTCCTGCTAGCTCCACCCTTGGGTCCTCTCAGTTCTCTCCCTGGTACTGCTGGAAGTTGTAGTTTCCAATCACTGGAGTCGAGGATGGAGTCCAAAAAGCTGGAGTAGCTGCAGAGTTCCTTTAGGATATCCTTCTCCTTAACAATATTTAAATTGATCTCTTAGTCAAAAATTTAGAAACCATCGCACATAAGGTAGATCTTGAATTGTGAAAACAGTCTTTCCAATCCTATACTAAAAGTAAACACACTGGTTAGAATATATATATAATGGTGATACTTATAGAACTATTGTTATTTCTTAATTTATTTTGGCCCAGAATTTTTAGTTTTATAATTTTAACATTAAATTTTTTATAATATATGTTACTGGTGGCAAAGAAAGTATCTTTCCTAGACAAGACACTTTATCTGTCATTTATGCCAAGACCAGATTAAAACATACGGTCTGTCTTCAGAAGATCAAAACAATTGTTTGAAAATTGAAAAGTTCAGTCAATTAGCTGGTGATTTAGGGTAAGAACTGTCAGACAGTATATTGATTTCCACCTCCCCCCTGAATAGACTGAACTTTCTAGTATGTCATTGAGTATGCACTTGGGCAATAAATAACAGTGCATTATGATCATTACACTTGCAACTTATGAAGTCTTTCCCATCCATAACTCTCCTTATCCCTAAAATGAAGGCAGAACAGATTCGTTCCTCAACAGTCAGGTTGTGAGTGCCTGTAACGCACTGGTTTAGGCCAACACAGTCCACAGAGAACAAAAATCTTCCTGCCTTCACAGAGCTCCCATTTAGCAAGACCTGATGGATACTCAAATAAAATAATTGAATACTTGCTACAAAGAAAAATAAAGAGCAGAAAGGGGGTAAGTGGATGTCAGAAAAGTGCTGTTTTTGATAACAGGGAGATATTAAAATTATTCCCATTTTTACTAGATGAATCAAGGTCTCAGGGAAATACATCACTTTCCCCAGGTGTCACAACGCAAATTGCAGAAGCAGGAAAGAAATCTAAATCTTCTGATTCAGAATCCTCTGTCTTCATGTTCCTTTTGTGGTAATCATAAAAATCTGTTTATTCAGCACCTTTGCTCTGTCTTCATTCCCCATACGAGGCTCTGATGTGCATCTCCACTTACCAGTTTTGCAAAGATGGTAATTTTTATTTAGTTCCTCATTTGTTTTTCAAAATTAAAAGCAGTCTGACTTGGGCTTTGATTGGAGGCATACATGAGTAGGCTCTGAGCACTGAGTTATCTCACAAAAATAAATATACCTCCACTTTTCAGTGGAATGGCCCTGTTTCACACATTATTCAGCAATGTACAATGATTCTACTTGAATCTAATTACTCCTGAGAACTTTATTATAGTGTGACTAGATTTCCATGTTGCTTTTGCAGCCAGGATAAAGTAAAAGTTTCATGTCTCAGAGTAGCCTTCACCAGAATTTTTCCATATCAATAAATATCAGTTAAACTGCAAATGCTGACAGAGTAAATTCCATTGTGCCCAGCACCTGCACAGAAGATATACCCTCCTCTAAAAGCTTTCCTTTCTTCACTGAGAAACTCTTTCAGCTGCTATTCCTGAGAATTCATACCCAACAAAGCAAGAAAAAGTGTTAATATCTTTAATTTCTTCACTGCATTCCTACCAAACAATCTGATTCTCAAATGAATATTTCACTTTTGAATATCTTAAGGGGGTGGGGGAAGCAGTGTAGTCTGTTTTAGCTTCAATAAATATAGTTCAGCCATTTATAGATTTTTAAGCCTCTGAAAGCTGATGGAACTTTCCAGGAAGGTGTACACACTTACATGTATAACCAGTACTGCTGACTGAGTGAAAGGTTCATCTCAGTCTCCACTATTTGCAGTAACAAAGAAAATCTCTTATGATGGTTACTGGAAAAGAAAATTTAGGAAAAGCCCCTTTTTTATGGCATGGGAAGAAGAGCTAGTAAAATTCAGGCAGGAAGTCATAAAAACGATTTTACAGTAAAACATGTGCTTTTAAGAGACTGGTTAGTTTAAACAGCCTGGAGAGGAAAACTGTTTTTGCATTAATTTCCTCAGCTTTTTATTTGAAACTCTTGTACTAGACCTGAATTATAAAAACATAAGGAGTCTTTAGATCAGGACGGTTTTCAGACCCTGCAGAGCATTGCTTTGTTTGAAATGTCTCTCTGGAAATCCCACAGCACTCTGTGACGTCACTCAGCCTCTTTAATATGTTCAAGTATTCACATGGAGAGGAGAAGAACAAAAGCAGAGGATTTGGGGGTATTTTTCACATGATAGTACCTCACTTCATTTTCACTTGGGGCATCTAATTGGTGTTGAGAGGGAGGCAGTTATGAGTAATGGTTGAAATATTTGGCTCCTTTTTAGGCCCCAAGATGGATAGTAATTAAGTAGTAGCTTTGGGTCCCCCACCCCAAGTTCATACTTGCTGTTCATTTCTGGAACTTACCCCATTCCATTCATCTCAACATTTTCTGAGAGCCCCTGTTAAGCACTGGAGCTACTAAAACATTAAGACGTCCTCCGTAGTAGGGGAGCAGACAGGAGATAGGCAAGGTGAACAGTGTCGGGGAGACCAGCATGCTAGGATACCAAGGGGAGAGAATTTCAGATAAGTTCCCATGGCACCTCTCTAGTGCAAAGGCTGCCACTCTCCTATACCTTCCTGAGCCCCCTCTGCCGGCTGTGCTTTCTTTTGAGTGGTGTGGATAGTTACTGAGGCCTCAAGGAATCTTCAGAGCTGAGCTCTTGTGTGTCATTGGAGGATACTCCATTATTTCCTTCATACTTGGAAAGCATTTGAAGAAGCACAATTCTCCATTTGCCACCAGATTTAAGTGAGAATGTTGCCTTTTCTTCAGCAATGCCACCTATGTGGAATTAAGCATTTGAGAAAGGCTTCTTGGGGTTTGAGTTCTGGTTTCCAGTGATTGCAGACACATTGTCATTGGAGCAGAGGTCATGGTGTTCTCTGGTGCATCTAGAGAGGCCCTTCTCCCAGTCTGCATGCAAGGAGTCAATGTAGCACAGCCCTGTGGCCCTGCATCTTCTTTTTTGCCTTAAGTCCAGTTCTGATCTTTCCTCCCAGGGTTAAATTTATTCATGGAGGCTCTGTCCCTGTCCTTCTATCATTTTAGTGTACCCTGACTCTTTTCAGTAAGAAAGTTCTTAGATGTAGAGATGGCAAGAAATATTTCTTCCAGATTGCCCTGACCAACTGACCTAGAGTGATCTAAGCATGGCTTTCAAGAACTCCGTGATTCTTCGCAGTCAAAGCCCAGACTCCTGCTGACTGACCATTTTTGCTGACATCCTTAAAAATTTATTTGAAATATTTAAGCTATTGTCATGAGGCAAAGTCTGCTTAAGGCAGCAAGAATTAGAATAAAATGTAAGTTCATTTATTTGGCAAATACTGAGTATCCACTATGGTAGATTATATTTTTTTTTTTTACTAGAGATAGCAGTGAATAAAACATATAAAAAGTTTGGAGTATTTACTTCTGAAACACTTTGAAAGAAAGGCAGTTATATTTTAAAATGTGAAACCCTTTGGGAATCATCTTTGCTGCTGATAAGTGGAATATCAGTTTTGTGTAATTATTTCTGAAATGCCTAGAACAATTATGTGATTTTTAATTTTCTTCACAGTCTCATGTGCTGTTAACTTGTACCATTCTTAAAGAAGAAAGATCTCCTGAAAAATGTCAGTCTCAACACAGTTCCTCTCTAAATTTTCTAGTTTTCAGGTTGAAACATGAGCGAACTTTCTACTCTACTTAAATCTTTAAATATATTAATTTTGTAGATAAACAGATGTGTTTATTTTGCTTCAAGTGAAAGGAAGTCTTAACTGCCTAAGATGTGTAGTCATTCTCTGTTCTAGCACAATAACAAGGCAAGGAAGACCTGCTATTTTGATTTCTACACAATTATATAATTTTTTGGGGTATTAACTTACAAGCTTCAATTCCATTTGTAAGGTACAAGAATGAGACTGAAACTAGGTTTTAAACGGCATCTCGATGCATCACCTGCTATTTTATCACAAAGGTGGATTGTGGTTTGTATTGGAGCCTAAATTCATCTTCCATTCCTTTTCTTACCAACCACACCCGTCATTGAGAAAGGCCATTTCTTTGAACTGTGTGCATACATCACATTAGAAATACTTCCTCTTGAATTTTAAGGTGCCAGGGCACATGGTGTGTGTTTCAGCGTGCTCACTGTGGAGAAAGTAATAAAAGTAATATTACATTCTCTCCATAAAGTGAGATTTTAGAAAAGAAATTTTAAAAAATCAACTCGATTGTGTATAACCACCAAAATAATGTTTTCTTCCTTTGTAGCCCACCAGGAGGTCTGCCAGATTGTCAGCGGTAAGTACTTTGAACCCTTTTGGTGTCATTTCTCACAAGTGTTCTCTCCAGAGCAAAGCAGCAACAGGAATATTTATTAAGGTAGTGTTTTCATTGAGTTTTTAATTTTCTTTTGAGAAACTACCTGCGTCATAGTTTTTAATAAATTTGACCAGATCAGCCAACCAAGAAGCTTGATCAGATGTGTCCGTGAAAAACAATGACCAGTTCCATTACTAAGTATATGACACCCGGGACATTGTTTGATTTTGCTGTGTCTCGGAAACAAGAGAAGTACGTAGAGCAAAGTCTTCCAGTTCTATATGTGATGCTTTTTTTTTTGAATTCTAAAATTTCAGGAGCTGACCTATTTGAAGAGCAGATTGAGGGTAGTAAGATTAGTAAAAACATTTCTTCTTTCAAGTTCTTTCTTTATTTGAAAGGTCATTTCTAACAGTCAATCTTTCAGAATTGAACTGTGTATACTTTCACTTTATGCCCTCGATGAAAAGGAGCATATTCAATACAAACCTGACCCACCTAGAGGCTTTAAGGAGGAACACGTATTTTTCTCCACAGGAGAGATCCTGGAGAGAGCCTTCTACCTAGAAGTTATACTCCCTAGCTTTGGGAGAGTGGTATACTTTTTCAAGATCAATGAAATATTTGCCCTAAAATAACTATAGAAAGCAGGGGTTTTGCTGTTTATCTTCCTGTGTCCTGAGAGAGGCAGGTCAGGTCTGAAGCTTTGTGTGGAGGAGATTATGACCATGGAATAGGTAGGCACTGCTCACAGGAACAGGGAGAAGACCCCCATGAAGCAAGAGAAAAATAGTTTCTCAGTGGGCTCCTTAACTAATAAGATCTGTGAAAAAGGTTCAACTTTGGAGGCTGACAGAGACATTTTATTAATATAATTGTGTTCCTCATCAAAAGCTCTGGGGACAAATGAACCCAGTGTCTCCGGTAGACTGGAGATTCTTCTCACCTTGAGCTGGCATTGGAAGGGATGAAGTGGGAAGTAAGCTTGGCAACAGAACTTGAAAGCTGCATCAGAGGTGGAAGGATTTGGAAATGCTTTTGAAATACTTCACATGCAGCCATCTTCCTTACACGATGGGCTTTGCTGTGATTGTGCTGTGATTTCTAGACCATTAGAAAGACCAGTTGCAGTAAATTCATTGAGTCATTTGGCTGAGAGCCTGAGTCATTCCTCTCGCTGCTGCACTGTGATAAAAGGAAGTACAGAGACATAGGAGATAGAAGCTTAAACCAATTCCCAGAGAGCTATTCTAGACCCAGGAAAAATGAACCAGCTTTTAAATCTCACCTGCCGTTCACTTGAGAACCCAGAATGAAAATAGTGACAAAATGCATACATCTTTGTGCTGTTACCTGATGCCAAAAATATGTCTTTTAAATGAACAAAATCATTGTCAGAATGGACTGTTGTCTTTTGCAGTCATTTTGTGTTCCTTTTGGAGCTGAAGGTTGTCTTTTTCAGTATTTGTCTAATTTATCTTTGCAGAAACCTGCTCTACCAAAACCTGAACCTAAACCAAGAAAAACATCTGCTAAGGTAAAAGGTGCTTCCTCCCCCAGTTTGGCTATTTTAAACCGTGAATAAATTATTCCATATCCAAGCGTCATCCAAGGAAAGATCACTTTTAATGATTTCAGGCTAAATGTACTGACTCAAAAATTGTTACACTGCTATCAGCTTTCTCAAAAAGCTTAAAGTACATTTTATGCGTTTTTAGTTGGTCAATAAAGTGAAGGAAGTTGCTCTGAGAAGTCCTGTGTCCAAGGGCGTGTCTGCTAGCTCCCCCCGACATGCAGTTGCCTTAGCACCCAGAAGGAGCTCAGGTGTTGAGAAGGGGTTCTGACTTCACATAACTTGTCTTAGTGGACCACTTCCGATTACTAACGAATGCCCTATAATAAGTACTAGCATAAGTGAATTGCAGTAAACATTTATATGACCCTTAAACCATGTAAGAACCTGTTCTGATTGTTTTACTTATGACATTGACTTTACTGAGGTAGCTACAAATATCTATTTTGCTGGTAGGAAGCTGAGATACAGATTATTAAGAACCTTAACCTAATGTTAGGAACCTGTTCCATACTCTGCGCTTCTTCCTTGGGGCCTTCGTTTTCAAGCACTTTCTCAACTTTTCAGCCACTCAAGCCCCAGATCCTCACATGAGGTGTCTTCCCTGGCTCCTTCAAGTCCTTCTGCTTCACCAAGTCCTGCTGTGGCTGCTCTCCATTCCACAAAAGCAGTTCTCACTCTCACAAAAGAGGAGGCCCACCCAGCAAAGACCTAAGGGGAATGATCATGTTATTCTATAAAGGAGAGTCCAATGGATTTTAGAAACAGCCTGTGGCATTTTCAGAGAAACTCAGAGTAACCCAGTAAAAGTTCAGTAAAACTGGGTTCCCATTTTCCCCAGAAAAACAGGTATTAGCCATGGTTTTGCTTCAAGTCATGTTTGGAACAAGGCTAACTGATTTTAACTAACATCACTCTAGGTCTAACAGATTGTTTCCCTGGACTTTGCTTCTTAGAAAGAACCTGGAACAAAGACTAACAAAGGTGCTAAAGGGAAGAAGGAGGAAAAGCAGGAAGCTGGAAAGGAAGGTACTACACCATCTGAAAATGGTGAAACTAAAGCTGACGAGGTACTTCCCATGACTACCTCCCGCTGATTGAATCAGTGTCTTTAAAGAAATTGCTCGATCCTTCAGCCAGTGATAGCATGTTCATAATATCTCTTTATTGCCTGTAATATTATTGCAGATCCAAACCTCTCGTTCAACTGTTAATGTCTCAGCTTCCAGAGGTACCCCACCCAGCACACTCAGTAAAGGGGCAGATTGAAACAGTGAGAGTTAAGGGTACAGTAGAAAATTCTGCATGTTTGCAATGATTAGAGTCAGGTAACAGTAGTGTGTTGTTTTGTTTTGTTTTGTTTTGTTTTGTTTTGATGAACAGTGGGAGCTTGCAGGTAAAAGCTTGTGGTCATTTGAAAAGTAGAAGCAATAAATGCAGCACAGTATTTGCATAATATATTACAGCCTTGTCTGTTTTCCCAGAGTTGAAATACATTTGGCAATAGAGATGCTAAAATACAGATGTTCAAAAGTGTGTGTGTTGGTGGGGTGGACTTCTCTTAGTCTTATAGTTGTTTTAATAATAACTGGTTTTTTTTTCCTTTCTTTTTCACAGGCACAGAAAACTGAAACTGTAGATAACGAGGGAGAATGAATTATCATGAAAAATTGAGGTTGATTTTATGTACCTCTTGGGACAACTTTTAAAAGCTATTTTTACCAAGTATTTTGTAAATGCTAATTTTTTTAGGACTCTACTAGTTGGCATTCAAAATTATATAAGAATGGATATTTTACCTTCTCATAGTTATGCCTTTTGGAAGTTTCCATCATCTTCAAGTAAAATAAATAACAATTTAGTATTGGACGCTGTGTGTAAAATGGATTCAGCATTTCATGCACTTGCTTTAAAAATTTAGTCCTGTGCATACTGTGGTGTTTTTACTGTGCATATATGAATTTTTCACGCAGTTTTTCTAGAGCAATAATCAGTGGTGCTTTTGTACCTAGGTTTTATGTGATTTTAATGAAACATGGATAGTTGTGGCCACCTGCTGACTATTTGTGGTTTAAAATAAAAGGTTTTCTTGCCTGCAAAATAACATGCCTCTTAGTATTGTCTTTAATGTACTTATGCAGTGTTTCATTTTATTATTGCAGAAGATTTAAAGAATTGCTACAGTCTGTGCCATGATGTCTCTCTGATGAGTCAAGCAGAATTATTTGTTAATTCCTGGCCTTTAAAAATGTTATTTTAATAAAACGGTGTAGAATTGCATCTACTACATTTCATACCGGAAGTGGCCAGCAATGATTATCATCATATAAAGCTTAATAAAACATTAAATTTTTGAAGTCCATATAAATAGAAATCTACTAATCCAGAGCAAGTGAAATATCATAAATAAGTCATTCTTGAAACCCTCCCACTTTCAAAATAATACAAGTCACAATGGTACTAAAATATTTTTCCCTTCATTGAGGACTTCACGGCTTTAAAACCTCTTCACCAGCATGACTAGGTTTCCACTTACAGCAACCTAAGGAGTTGGTATGGTATTATTAGAACTCCTCTGAGAAATCAGGGGCAAGGCAGGCGTGTGCCTTACTTCAGATCCACTAAGGAAAACTCGAACTTGAACTTATCTTTTGAGTCTTAACAATAGTGTTGAGGCAGGTGACTATAGCAAAATACCACATCTGAGTGGCTTACAAACAGCAAGAATTGATTTCTCACAGTTCTAGAGGTGGAAGTTCAGGATCAGGATGTAAGATTGCTCAGGTAAGGGCTCTCTTTAGGTGGCAGCTTCTTGCTGTGTCCTTACATGGCAGAAGAAACTTGACACCTCTCAGGGCCTCTTTTATGCAGACACTAATCTCACTCATGGGGTCAGACCTCATGACATAAGCAACTCCTAAACACATCACCTCCTACCACCAGTATCTTTGGTGGTTGGGATTTCAACATATGGAGTTTAGGGGTAAGCAAATATTCAGACCACAGCAGTGTCCTTCTGTACCTGGAAGTGCCAAGAGCACAATGTATAACTAGGAAATTATACATTTTACAAATGTATTGTGTTTGTTTACATTCCTGAGACATTTGGACACTTCATGCACACTTCAGGAAACCGAATTCTAGAGACTTTTCTGAGATGAGACTTGAATCTTTTTTAAGGTAGAGAATAGTGCCTGCACTGCTCAAGAACTCTTCTAAGATTATTACAAGAGTATAAAAATTTCATATTAACATATAACTTTCCATTTTATTTTATATGTTTTATATTATTTTGTTATATCTTTACAAGTAAAGATTTCACATATTTAGCTTTATAACTAGTAAGTTTACTCTTCTAAAGTTACTATTCACAATGACCATTGATGCTATTATTTTTATTTCAAGAACACAAAGATGAGGGGTGCTATAGGCCATTGGTATGTGTCTATTAAAGATTTTGGCCATTATCATTGCAATATTGACAAAGTGGGGAAGCACTACGTAGCAGAATAACTCCAGTACCCCAAATTGGTTCTATAGAACATGAAGACTTAATGGATACTACCTATGGTATGTCTGCAAATATGAGAAAAAATTAAGAATACCTATTACTGCCACATTGCTCATCTATTTGCCCAATTTATGCACATTATAAAAAGAGCCTGCCTCTCCAAAACATGCACCCGTGGATCTACTGAAGATCATAGTCCTATGACTCTACAATCACTTGGAGTCAGGTGGCACTTTCATTGCTGAGCAGTCCATTGCTTGTACAGTACTACTTGGGAGTCCTAAAATTCTCACTGGAGGCTGCCCATGGATTTTTGTGGAATAATTAATAGTAGATTTTGACTGGCAAGTGGTCCTGAAATTCCCCTTTTTAAGTTCTGTGAAAAGTTAGTCGGAAACAAAAGTCAGAGTTCACTGATAACAAAATAGGTGAGCTATCCTATAAGATCTTGAATGGACATTGACATAATTAAAGACTTTGAGACAGTGTTATGAAATTTGAGATACCCTTATTTTTGGCTAAAGGTACAAGTACTTTCCCAGATTGCCAATCCTAGCAAGCATAAGCAAACTTAGCTTTCAGCTATGGCACATGTCAGTGTACTACTTCTCTGAATACTTAATTGTGAGTTTCAAACTTTTATCATTTTATTCAAACGATTTGTTATAAGTCTCTTAGAATAATTATGATTAAGATAATAATAGCAGCAATATTTTAGGACCTTGTAATAAGCACTTTATACTAATTCATTTGGGAGAAAACTTATTCTTTTAATATAATTATAATGTTCCTGGGTCTCCCTCGTGGTGCAACTGGTTAAGTCTCAGCACTAGGAAGCTATTGCCACCCACTGCAATGGGAATTCAATCCCTGATCTCTGGCCAGGAAGCTGACCCTCATGGCACAGCAGACCTCTCCTGTTCCCATCCACAGTGTATTTCAATAGATCTGCCTGTTCTGCTCCCCATTCTGTCTTTGGTGAATCCTCTCCCACTCCTCCCCTTCCGCCCCTACACCTCTGGCCCAGCTCTTATATGTATAAATAAATATTTAAAAATTGTAATAATAGGCCCTTCCTGGTGGCACAGCGGGTTAAAGCACTGCACTGAGAATCTAAAGCCGCTTCCGCATGAGTTCGATCCCCGCCTGCCCTGGAGGTGACCACATGGCGTGGCAGACCTCTCCTGACCCGCCCGCTGCTCCCCTCAGCAGTGTACTTCGTCGATCTGCCTGTTCTGTTCCCCACTCTGTCTCTGGTGAAGCCTCTCACTGCCCCTGAGCCTCTGGCCTGTACCCCAGTTCTGTATGCACAAATAAATAAATAAATCTTTAAACAAAAATTGTAATAATAATATGTATAATGTTCCCATATCCTAGTAATAATAAGCCTAATTTTTGGTATTTGAAATCCCATATCTTAGTGATATTTACATATAAATTTCAGGACTTTGAATTAGTCCATGGTTTCTTTAGTTAACACCAATAACACAAGCAATTACAAGAAATTGGACATCAAAATAAAAAACTTCAAGGAAGAGACAAACCATAGAATGGGAGGAAATACTTGCAAATCGTGTGATAAGGCTCTAGTGTCCAGAATAAGGAAATCTTACAATTCAATAATAAACAAAAATAATTCTTACATGGCAAAGAATTTGAATAGGTATTTCTCAAAAAAAGAGAACCATATCAATAGCTAATATGCAAACGAAGGTATGCTCAACACCATTAGTCATTAGGGATATGCAAATCAAAGAAATAATAAGATAACAAGATACCATAGTAAGACACACAGGGATAACTGAAGAAACAGAAAACAATAAATGAGAGGAGGTGGAGAAATTGGAGCCCTTATTTACAACTGGTGGGAATGTAAGATGATGGGGGCTCTTAATAGCCTGAAAAAGAAGGAACACTGGTGCATATTAACCACATGGATGAACCTTGAAAACATCATGTTAAGTGAAAGAAGACAGTCACAAAAAGCACTTACATGATTCATGTATATGAAATGTCCAAAATGGAGTTACTTCTAGTGACAGGAAGATCTAAGTTTGCCAGGAGCTGGAGGGAGAGGTAACTGGAGAGTGGCTAATATGCACAGTTATTTGAGAGTACTGGGTGATGAAAACATTCTGGAGAAGTGGTGATGGCTGCACAACCTTGTCAATATACTGCAACTGTAACAGGGTGGTCCAGGAAAAGGGGAGGCTCCAGGTTCCCTGCCTCACCCAACAGGAGGGTGGAGCTGAGCAGGAAAGAGGAATCTGGAGTAGAGATTGAAGAGGAAGGAAACAGGATGGAGTGTCAGAAGGAGACCCGAGGGAGGCACATGGAGCAGAGAGACATATGAAGGAACTGTGCTGGCTTCTTCTTGGTACTGGACTGGTTGAAACAGATGTGAGTGGCAGCATTTATCTTGATGTCCATTTTGCCCTTTTCCTCCCAGACTTGTCTGGCCATGTCTAACCCTTTTCTTTGGGTCCCTTCCAGAAGGTGCTTTAGGCTTGTGGGGGGCTTTCAGGCCCTGTTGTGGGCCAATCCCTTTTGGGTAGCCTTTTACCCATGAGGGAATGGGTAACTTCAGGTATTTGATTTTAGATATTACATTCTTTCTCTTTTCTGTATTGCACACTGATTGTATTAAGTGCCTTTCCATTAAAGGCCTTAGATGTTTTGTCTTGTTGCTGCAGATGGCAGAACCCCTTTAGAGCAGGCAGGTTTAGTGTTCAGGGGTGCCTCTCTCCCTGCCCTGGAACAAAACCACTGAGTTACTCACTTTAAAAAATGACATTTAGGAAGGTATGGGAAACAGTCAGTAGGTCTAAGTTCAAATCTTCACATTATTTGTCATGCATTATGTGAGCTCGGGCAGGTCATTGAACTTCTGCCTCTCAGTTTTTTCATGCTTAAAATAGAAACTGTCTTTTTACAAAACTGTGAGGATTGAATAAGATAGTCCCGTGAAATCACCAGATGTAGTACCTAAAATTCAGTTTTTCTGTAAATGCCAAATGAATGAATATGAATCAGCCCTAGGGTATGCTCTGGTAAGTATATATCAGGTTTTTTTTGTCATAGATACTCAGCCCCTGGCCTGGGTGATGTCAGGCCAATGAGGAATGGGAATGTTTAACCTGGTGAAGGGGGTCGGGGCTGGGGGTGGGGAATGCAAAAGAACCATCAGTTCCTTAGAAGATAATGTGGTGTAACAATTAAGCTTGTACACTCTGAAACAAGACTGCCTGGGTTCAAATTCTGTCTTTCATATCTTCTTGGCTATATGACCACAGACAGGTTACTCAGTCTGTTTATACCCTCTGTATCTTAGAGTTCTCATCTGAAAATGAATAAAAATGGTACTCTATAGGGTGTTGTAAGATGTAAATGGTACAAAGTAAGTCTTCAGGTAATATTAACATTACCTGAAGTCAAAACACGGAGCAGGTGAGATGTTAGCTCCTTGAATACATTGTCCCTACTATTGTTACACATAGTAGAGGTCCAATAAATATTTGTGGAGCTGAATGTGGTCTTTGATAGGCAAGGAAGAACCAAGCTCAAAGTTAGGCCATTGTTGTCTG